GAAAGTGTGAGAAAAATTCCGGATATTCCATTTCCGATGTTTGTTTGTGACTTCCGAATTTTCCCTGTCACAGTTTACAAAAACCATATACAAGATGAACTTCTTGATATAAATTGAACTAGCAAACTTTTTCAAGAACGGTCCTGGATTCTCCTTATTCTGAAGTCATTCGATTATAGAGTAGTAGCAGGATATTTCATGCAGAAGTTGGACAAATCGAAAAAGCTGTTGAAAAGTTATGATTGAAATATGTTCTTGCCAAATTCCATAATACACCCTATATATTAGTGTAGAAGAGGAGCAGACACTTTCTGATGGTCATGGTAGTTCCTTCAGGTGCCTCTATTCGTGGTTGGAGTATGTACAGTTCCTCATAACTCACCCTGTATAATCATTTCGTAGCCAAATTTGGAAGGAAAACTCAAATGCACAAATAATAAAAAAACAGATTGGTAACATTTCCGGAAATAGAGATTGCTTTGTTAATCATTCGGGTTAAATTAGTCGCTGGGAAGAAGCGTTAGTATTTTAATCATGATGGCATGCTGGTCGTGGGTGCAAATCTCCGATAGCAGGAATATTTCTGATGGCCTAAGAAAGTGTTTGGGATTACACGTTGAAGGGTGAGGTTTCCGTCATTCCTTGCTCGTACAGGTCACTAGAAGACTTCTGAGGGTTGCTCGTGAGGGATCAACTAAATGACGGATAAAACAACTCCAGAACAATTTTTTTGTTAGACTCGTGTAATCTTTGTTGATAAGCGAGTTTTTTGTATCTTCTGCGGAAGGTAACAGAGGTTCAAGTTGAGAATTATATACATAATACATGCACCATCAACTATTGAAATGTCACTGAAAGGCTTTTGGATTCTGCTGGATGCGTAAATTTTTGCTAAACGAACAAAGAAGATTGACACTTCTCAGTTCTTCTATATGTCTTTCGGTTTCTCTTTTCAAGTTGAAAATTAATCGCGTTCATTCGAAATCATTGATTCCATATTTGCTGAATTTCCAATAGAAAGTTGAATATTTTCCTAATGTTGAATGTTTTGTCGATGAAATCATCCAGAGTGACACGACAGAAAATGAAGAATACAATATTTTCAAATTTCATATTATGATCTTGATGATCATGTAAAGAATTCAGTTGGAGTATTATACGCAATTCTGATGAAACTTTCAGTAAAGTCGAAGATTTCAGATGAGAAAATTTGGGTCATTTATACTACGGACACTTTTTGAAGTCAAATAAACAAGGACGTATCTATCCACCTGATATTTGACATGATAAAATAGACTTTCTGAATCGAAATATTCATACACATCACAAGAAATATGCAATGGGGAAGACCACTTAGAGAAGAAATCTGTGCAAACCTCTTTCAATCGACGAATCATGATTTACATTTTATGTACAATCAATCTTATGAGTTGAAGTTGAAGGGAATCGAATCTATATCGTTTTGAAATCAGCATATTTCATTCGATATTTCAAACAGCCAAATATGATGGTGGAGTCGTGACGTAATAGTCCCGAACTGTAGCTATCTCTCTATGATACCTCGTCATTCTGCAGTGTTGCAGTGTAATTGGTCAGTTCGAGGACAATAGGCGTGTTGGGACTAAGACGTCGCACCAGTCATACCAATGAATTGATGAAATTTCAAATGGCGCAGGAATTGTGTGTTTTGGAATGGACATATACTAATTTATTTTTTTCATCGTCTTAGCATGAATGAAAGAATTCAAAATTCATTCACTGGTAGTTTTTCAGTATGAAGTTCACGATAATGTCGTTTCAAAAAATCAGTGGTCTTCCCTATTTTGAGAAATATTCAGAAGCTCAATGAGGATAAATGAAAAAGATTGAAATTCTTTCTAGAGAAGGTATAAGGAGACGATATCTGAGTTGAACTCATGATCAATGTGAGAAATGCCTTTGAGTGACACTTTCCACAACTGATCTGATTCTATAAATTTCAAAGCATTCTTTATCTAGCCTCACGAAGCCGGGTTTCTATGTCTCGTGATAAAATTTCCTCGTTGTCTCCCCAGCGAGCAGTATGTATCGCAAAGGACATTACATGCCCCAAGTGTCACATTATCTATCCAGGTGTTCATTGCCTGGGACGAAAAGGAAAATCCTGAATTACTGGGTCATTCTGAACGCTATAGGTTCAGTTGCGATCATGAAATGATTGCGATAGGTAATGCTTCTCTTCACAATAATTATTTCTAAAAGAGGTTCAATCGCGATCATGGAATTCATATGATGGAGATAGGTAATGCTTTTCTTCACAATTATTTCTGGAAGAGTATGATAAGGATCACGAAATATATTCAATTAACCTGCACTGCGGCATTTATACTGTGAGAACGAAAATTCAGTCGCCCTCTTCGTAACGTTTATATTTTACATATTCAAAAAAAAATTTAATATGTAAAACGTCACAAACAATGAGATTTCCACAAGATTCTTAATCAAACGACATGTTTCGCTAATACAGTAGCTTCATCAGGTGAAATACTGGCACAAAGAACTATACTAGCCTCGGCTTGCCTAACTTTTATATACCAAGGAAGGTAAGTGTTGTTTTTCGTGCAAAATAATTCATTCAAATTCATAATCGTATAGCAGAATGCTTTCGACTGTTGAGTCATCATTAGTGCATACTCGTCAGGTTAACAAGGAAATTTGTCCATAAAAATATCTCTGGTCCAGTTCAACATTATACTGGTCAGGTTAACAAGGAAATTTGTCCATGAAAATATCTCTGGTGCAGTTCGAAACTAACGACATTATGGTAAAATACGGTACAAACATATTAAAATGTGTTTCCCAAAAGGGGGTAAAATACAGATTACATTTTGTTAAGCAGTCATTGTCGCTGCGACATGTCGTGTTGAAGTGAACTTGATGAGTATTTCATCATAATGTCGTTAGTTTCGAACTGGACCAGAGATATTTTTATGGACAAATTTCCTTGTTAACCTGACCAGTATGCACTGATGATGACTTTACAGTCGAAAGGGCTCTGCTACGAGTATAAATTTGAATTAATTATCTTGTACGTAAAACACTTCCCTTTTTTGGTATATATACACGTGCACACAGCCGAGCAGCCCTCGCTAACTTTTTTATTGGTATCCTACTTTCCCAACCTGAAGGATTAGCGAAGTTCCTTTGGAAAGGTTCGAAATAGCTTCATTCACGAAAAAAGGCACAATATCTACATTGAAATAATTGTTATTGTAATTGTTAATGTATATATTGTGTTGTGATTTTGAATCGAAACATTCATTGAGAAGATTTATGCTTGATTGGCATGAGCTTCAAAGAGACCGACGGCGCGCAGCGTATATATAAATATAGCTTCATGAAAAAATATTACATTACAGTCGAGAATATAAATGACCGAAAACCTGATTTCTCATTTCGAATGTGGAGTTATTAATTTGATTTTATATTTTTTGCATATTTTGGAGCGCACTAAGGGAAGTTCATATAAAGTTCGAAAAACATCGTGCATAGGAAGCGTCAAATTTTGACGTTCGTTCAGAAATACTCGAAAACCAAACGCATCGAATATACAATTGAATTCGCACTTCAAAATGTTCAAGTTAAGACATCTCAAAGTTCCTGCACAATTACATATCGTGTCAGTTTGATAGAATAATGTCAAACCGACATTCTTTGTGATGATTATGCAACAGGTTATCGATGCGTATTCCGAATATTTTGAAATACTACTACTACTACTTATAACACTATTCACTTTCGGTTGTAGTATTCACAATATTTGCATGGTTCTACTTCTGAAAGGGCAAAGTTTCACACTGTATTTTCATACTCAATTCAAAGACGTAGCAGCCTCGAAGTGTTCTATATATGCAATTCAATAATTGTCGCGTTACTTACGCACCTTTCATTTTATTATTCCAGATGAAGAGAGGAACTATAGTAGTTGATGGTCAATGTTTCTTGATGAATACGTTTCTGATTCAGCGAGAGTATTAGGTATAATGGGAATTTCTCAGTTCTTCTGGAAACTAGAAGCCGTGTTTCGAGATTATTTTGAACCGTTATCTACCTTTACATGTGGATTTGTGTACCTGGCCTATAAAAGTTCACCAAGCATTTGATATTGATATCTCTCAACCTAACCGGAGAAGAGCCGAAGCAAGTGTTTTCATCCGTTGTTGGGATATACATACAAGATTTTATTTATGTATGTGGCCAAACTTCAAAGGGCGATTATTTGGGTGAGTCTGAGACGGAAAGTTCATGTAAACATTGGTCCCGAAATGCTTCGTTTTCGGAATACGAGCTGTTGAAGTTGGAAGTATTGAGTGTTGTTTTGTATGTTTACCCTCTATAAGCTTTCATGATGGCAACATTGTGTCTGGTTGGTGACAATATACAAAAACTCGATAGAGAAAAAGAAGATTGTAGTTCTATTGTTCAATCTGATGAAAATATCGAACTTGGAAAGAATATTTACCATAAATATCGAAAACGTCACCAACGCCAATGGAGTCATTATTTCGAATCTAATAACATCAAAAAAAGATTTATTTCTGAACCTATGTTTACATGAACTGTTCGTTCCAGAATCACCCCCAAATAATCACTGTTTGAAGTTAGGCCACATACTCGAAGAACAGCCCGTATAAATCTGCATTTTATTAGAGGATAATAATATGATGGAGAATCCAATTTCAATTGAATTGTTCTTTTTCATTAGAATCGTGTTCGTTCAGTAAAATCATGCTTCAACTAGACAACCTATTTTTGATCTCAACCTACATTTCCTCACCTCTTCACAAGCAGTTCCTGATCAGCTATCCAACACGATCATCTATCCATCGCAAAAAGACAAAGAGATGATGACAAAGCGGTGGCACAGGGTGTTGACTCATCTGCCCGTCTGGACCGACTTTGCCCAATTAATTTATAAATAGCGCCCTATTTCCGTTCACTAAATTTAAAATATTTTCCAGAGAGACAAGAGCTACAACGGGGAAGAGTTGCCTTATGTGTTCGGGGTGCCATTGGGTGGGCCGAAACATCACTTTTCTGACTCGTATACCGAACAAGAACAGATGTTTTCTGAGATCGTAATGATGTATTTCTCGAACTTTGCTGAGACTGGGTAAGTAACATCATCATCAAAACAATCTCGTTTGTGCCTCAAACATCTCATTTCTCGTTCTCCAAAGAGTGTGGACACGCTTGTCACCTTTTACATTTCCAAATTGTCACAGCCGACTCTATAACAAGCCGCGTTGAGAGAAATGCAACACCGCATCGCCGTTATATGGAAGGTTTAGGCTGCGTCAAGTCTGTGATTTGACCGGGCACATACGTTCAGTATGGAGTTTGGTTATCAATCTGACCAACCAGCTGTTTGAAAATATCGGTAACGTTTCAAATCCTACCCACAAAGTTACCATGTTAAATTTTGATGGGAATCGAGTAAACCATCGATCATTCTGGTAGCACCAACGTGGTCGGACGAATGACTTGACACAGCCCTAGTCTCGACTGACGACCACGGCAAGTTCCATTTTGAATCGACCATTCAAGGTCACGAATTGCGAGGCAGGATCTCATAGGTATTCGATTTGGTTGCCGTCGAGTTGGTGATGAACACAGAAGATATGTTGGACAAGTAATAATTATTTTTATGAAGGTTATTCATTGTAGAAATATTCAAGTTGAGGATAGTTTCTGCAAGTATCGTTTATTAGCTCAAATGAGATAGTTCTCAATGTTTATATACAGAATGAGAAGTGGTGTACAACATAATACAACAAAATATAACTGTAGAAGAAGAACTTGTTTCAAGTGATCGATTCAAATGATTTCAAGATTCTTATAATGATGCTATTCTCATAAGATGTGAGCGTTATTTTCAGATATATCAAGCTTTTTTCTGTTATGTCATCAAATGAGCTGATTTTTTGTTCTTTGGTCTGATTCCTAGTGTGATTTGACTTGTTTCTGTATCTCGCTAGAATATTATTCGGAAATTGTGACCACCTACTCGTCTTCTTATCATAAGGAAGATCCATTTTGAGACATTGGATTCCAAATTATTATCATCTAACAATTATCAAATTCCAATCTCAATACATATTTCCCAATTAGCTGCTCGTAACTTTGACGATATGGTCGTATTCTTCAACTCAACATTTCTGACGCCTTTCTTCGATATCCCTTTTCTTGATGATGTAAAAGGTTCTGAAAGATGACTTGGTGAATGTGAATATATTGAGGAACTACATTTCCAACTAACTTCTCGTTTCTAAGCAAATTTTTCATAAATTATTCATCTCTGAGCAAAAATATAGCTCATCTTACAATATATGTCTCAACGAAATGAATAGCACACACTGCCCTAACAACACCAGAACGTCCCAGGGACTTCCCACGGACGTCCTTCATTTTCTACGGGGACGTCCCTGGGATATCCTGTGTCGAGACATGGTACATACTAGGGACGTCCCAGGGACATCCGCTTTCCACAAAAAGAGGCATCCTAGGGATGTCCTTCTGGTACGTCCCTGGGATGTACCAAGTACGAAGAAAGGATATCCCTAGGACGTCCTAAGGATATCCCAGGGACATCATTTCGACGAAATAAATAAAAATTTAGTTCGAGTATGGATTGAACCCGGGACCTTTGGTTATCAGGCACGCATCTTACTCCATTGGCTATTGAGCCTCTTGAAGATTTATGTACTAAACAGATTTATGAACAGGACTCAACTCCAGAAACCTGAATAAATACAACTTTGTTAGGATTTGGGTATAATTATTATATCATTCTTGGGTGTTCAAAAATTAGGGGCATTATGCATGTACGATTTCTGTTTGCGAAAAATGGTAATTTCTTGAGAAGTTCTGAAACTTCATTCTTTATTTTCATTACGATTATTTTCCGGAAGAAAAACAAACATTTTCAAAAAAATGCAACTTAACTTCAATGAAATTCAATGACTCTGATGTGAATGGATATCAGATATTCTAGGGACACGAATAGGATAACCTAGGGATGTACCGGGCGGGATGTCCACTGGACAACCACTGCGCGACATCCCCTGGATGCCCCAATCATGTCCTTGTACCGCGGGCCAAAAAAAGGACGTACCTAGGACATCCCTGTGTTGTTAGGGTGCAGAGTGTTGAGATGGAGTTCAATTTTTATGAGGTACCAATTAATTGCAAAACCTCCTTTTTTCTGTAGTTCTTCATCTTCAGGAAATTCAGAAATTGAAACATACATTCATACCGGAGCTTGATTCTAACTCACACCATGTCACATAACAATCATTCGGCATTCTTGTTGAAATAAACGTTGAAATTACTCAATTTGCTTCTATAAAAAAGACAACATGAAACATTAGCTCGATTCATATACTAATTTCGGTTGGACATTCATGCACACACACAAACACCCTTTCACTCAAACTCGATCACTAGAATTTTCCCCACACTTTTCACTGGCATTCAACAATATTTCACATCGATAACACATCAATTGACTCTTGGAAACTAGACGAATAGACTTCGTTGCATCAACAACTTATACATTGTATATGTGAGACTTTCTTCTTCAAAGCAGGCTATGGGAATGTCATCATTCTCAGATTTGGAACGTAATTTCTGAAGATTGACAAGGAGTCGAATATACCTTGTTTGGTAACGAATTGCAAAAATACTGAGAGTGCTTGTCAACATTTATTTGATTTGCCCAATGACGAGACGACAAGTCAAGTGTTCGTTGAAGCTTCAGGTTCCAATATTTATTATCTAGAAATAAATTCATTGCATGATAATAATATTACTGCACAATAAGCATCATCTGGCTTTGGTGTTACGCCAATGTTAGGGTTTCAAATGGAAATATATTTGCACCCGTTCATTGAAGAGGTACAGAAAAATTACATTCCATTTAGTATAGAACAATTTATTCTGGGTCTCATGTTTTTTGTTCAGCACACTCTTTAAATAGCGTAGAATGAGCTGTTTGAGGCACCCAGGACTGGCTGCATTGTAGACCAGTGCTAATTAAGCCTTTGAAAACGGTTAAACGTGAAAACAAAATAAAGCAGGATGAAACGCATTGAAAAAAAAGAAGATATAACGAAGATTAGAGGTCGGGAAGTGGTAGAGGGAGAGTTTTCAAGCGTATAAAACGACTTACCAAGATTTCCGGCAAAAAGGCCTTTGGAAAACTGATAAAAATAAAATTTTCATGAAACTGGATGATTCACTCTATTCACAGATAAAAGTGAATAGGTTGAACTATCCGAGGTCGTTTATATTCAATTAAAAATGTACAGGTCCCAACACAGATCCCTGTGGACCACCATATTCGATATTTCTCTTTTTGGATAGTTTTGTCGTTTTGACCACTTGATTTTTTTTTATCGCTTGGAGCGCACGAAAGGAAATCCCTATAATGTTCAAAGAACATCGTGCGTTGAACTCCTGGAGATTATAAGTTGTTGGGAATACTTCCTGAGGCAATGAATTCCAGAGCCTAGCCGTTCTATGGATGAAGAGATTTCCGAAAAGCATTTCTCGTGGAAGTATCCTTTCTACGGTTTTCCAATGATGTCAAAGGGTGAGTGAGTGTGGCGTCACCCACCAGGCGAATGGCTCTTCTCTAGATGGAATCTGAGAGCATCAGCGTATGTTTTGGTGCTGAACCCCATATGTGGCAACAGTATTCTAGAACAGGCCGTATCTGCGCTTTGAAGATCATGAGAAGCTGTTGAGGTGTAGAATAGCTTTTCGCACGGAACAAGACTGTGATTCGTTCCTTCAGTATGTAATTCCTCTGCGTCCATACTGACAAAGCTTTCTCCGCAGTATATTTTACGTGCCTTTTGGTTTGGAATTTCACTAGATGTCCCAACAGAATAATAATTATTATTCTGACTGCCCCTTTGGAAAGAGAACGAAAAATGTGTCGAGAGATAGTTATGACGTATTGCTGTGACTTTTCTAGAACCGGGAAACTACCGCAATTAAGGCACTATAAGACGACGGTATGGGGGCTTTTATGGGCAATAATTCCGAGAGATTACCGGGGTGCTCACTCGGTCAGAGAAATGGAATCATTTTCTAGTACGTACACACGAGAGTGTTTTTCACTGGCTTTCATATCTGAAATTCCTCAAGAAATTTTCTCAATACGTTAAAATCTTTATAACGATTTTGTAATTAGGTTCGCCGATCAAACATTAGAATTGAAAAAGAGGATTGAGGGTTGAGGCCATGCTTTTGATCCAGATAGATCAATCAGCTGTAGCAAAATTAATCAGAAAAATTGAATCGTTTCAATTCGGAATCTTCCAGAACTCATTTTTTCACCAATAATATGATCAACTGGAACAATAATATTTCCCTATTCCCTCATCTTTTGAAGGTCACGGAAATTAACCCCTTTCATTATTGCGGAACGTCGATCGTGGGAACCCAGAGAGAAGAATAAGGAGAGAAGTTACGTTATCGATATTTTTCTCAAATTTCCTGGGTTCTTAATTCTTAGTCGTATCCCTTCGGCAAAAACATCAAAATTTTTTCGTTATTCAATACATATAGAAACAAGTTTTGGTCGATAGTTGTTTGACATATACCGAGGTTGACGATTAATGGATGGGCTCAAAACATATCTGGGTGATTCTGACCCCCAAGTCCTCTGAAAAAAAAAATAGGATATCAAGTTGATGTACGGGTAGGAGAATTTTTTATAGTGGCAGTACATGTACTCCGTTAGAACTTTCGTGAGTTAATTCAAATTACTCTTCAAAAACTTCATTGTCTATAGAACCGCAAAGCTATTCATTCATTGAGCTATTAATTTATTTATTCATTCATTCATTTATTTATTTTTTTACTTAGTTCACAGAATGATTCCAATTACAAACCACGAAATATAGGAATATAAGTGAACAAGAATAGGGCTATGGAGTTCTTTGCCATAGGAAGTAATCCCAAGAACTTGAAATCTCCAAGAGTTCGAGAAAAATTTCAATGCCTACCTCCTCTACCTATCCTCCCTAGGTACTCACGATCTTCTCTCAACATTATAGGGATTCCCTTTCCTGCGACCAAAGAGATAGCAAAAACACCGTCTGCGGTAATCACCTCATAGTTCTTTATGTTCTGTTTAATTTTAGGTGATCCTTGTTACGACCAAAGATCGACCACTAACTGGTATGACCTCCAACCCCACCAGTGCTATATGCTTTTTATATTACCCGACATCGTGCTAGATACCATTTCAATCAAGTTATGAATTTCATAATTAAATCACATTATCAAATTATTATTGAATTTTCCTGATGTACCCACATGAATAAACACTTTCAAGGAAGATTATTTTCAATGAATCCCGAAAAATTTCATAATCTGTTGATAATCTGACAATTGATCATTTTCCTGCAGGAATCCAAATGTACCTAAGAGACAATATTTCTACAGCATGAATCCTGCATACTGGTTACAGTTTGATGTAGAATGGCCAGAATTCGACATTGAGGAAGAATGGTATTTGAATTTGGGTGAGTAAAAGTAATTATTGCGTGAGAATTTTCCACGATTTTCGAATTGATATCCAATTCAGAATCACATTCTTGAAATAACTTCACGAAGTTTTTATTTTCAGGCATACCACCACAGCCGTCACAACACTACAGGGATAGCAAAATAAGATACTGGAACGAAATCTTTCCAAAGTTAACAGAAAATTTCAGCTTTCCAATATATCCATCAACTCGACCAACAGCAGAAACTCCTGATTTCCTGAAATCTCCACGAAAAACGGCTCCGCCTTTTCTCTACGACCATCTTCCTAATATGGCGATAGCTCCATCCAATGACAAATATATGAATTTCCATAAGCCAACTAGAGGTATGTCTAGGGCAGTATTTGGAACTGTGATAAAAAGTGGCGAGAGAAAACCTGATAATATGGTGAAAAATGTATATGGAACTATACTCGAATCGACACCAGAAGAAGTTAAACAGGCTACTACAATGAATATAGTTACTATAGTGGGAGCAGTTTTCCTCATGGTTAACTTATTACTATTAGTGACATTATATTTCAAGTGTTACAGAAATAAGAAGGTAAGTTCGAGAACCGGACATACAACAAATACAAATGGAGATGAAAAAAGTCGAAGAGACGATGAAAATGTTCTCATCAATGGATGTAATATAATGAAAATGATGGGTAAATCAACAAGAAGTGATGATACGTACGAAGCTGTCAAGAATGATCCGAGGTATAAATTGCACAGACAAATGTCTGGAAGTACAATTGATGCACATACAAAGGTGCGGCAATGGATTGCTCAAGAAATCATCCAGAAATATAGTCCAAGATTCTTCAGAAGACCTGCACAAGATGACAGTAACTCAAAAAGTAAGCAAACTATGCCAGAGGACTTCAATGTGTCAATAAAAGTTGAAGGCGATTCCACACTAGGCCGAAGTCCAACTAGGCCCGTCAGTCCTTGTGAAGAAAAAGCAATACCAATGCGAACTTCAACGATAACTAGGCCAAAAATGAAAGTTCCTAAAGTTTCAGTAGCTGTTGATGCTACCCCTTCTGGCAGAGGAAACAGTGTCTTGATGCAAAAACCGATAGAACTCACAAAGTCGTTAGACTACCCTAATACGACTCCTGACATGGATACTCCTCTTCGAAGGTCGTTCACCATGGAAGATTTTTCTCCTAGAGTGGTGGACTTTCAGAATGACTTGAGAAAAAGCGCAACTAATGTGAGCTGTCACAAATCTAATTTTCAACCCACTATCATTAAGATAGAGCACTCACACTCTAAATCGGATCCTGTTCAGGACTTGGACTATACTGCTATGAGAAGACTGAAGACTTTTGACCCAAATGGAGACATCAATGTGACTTGCAGGGATGAGAATGAACAAACGGTGCCACTCTCTCCAGAAGAGTCGTTGAATATTATCAAGAGGAGGAATTTCCCGAAAGTACTACCTGATCATCCTGGAAGGGAGAATTTGGTGAACAAAAGGAGATCAATGCCGATACCAGGCTTCTTCATGCCCATACCAGAGGGATCTTCATTTTCACAAAATAATTCATCTATGCCAAAGAGTTTGAATAAGTTTCCACCAGTTCCTCCACCTAGAAGTAGTACATTGATGAAACAATCCAGTAATCCACTTCCTGTGTTCATTTCTGAGCCGACATTAGCTGAGGAGCCTGAAGAAGAACCTGAAATAGTCTGCAATAATCTATATGTGGGACCTCTGATTCCGAAACGGCGAGACGGTCATCAGGTTTATGGGAGCCTGAAAAATATGATAGGTGGCAGTTTGGGAAAAGTAAAGCACGGTGGCCAAATCAAACATCCTACTCTCTCTCGAGAAATGGACGATGATAAATTCATAAGAATGAATTCAAAGTTGATGCATCAAAACGTCATTGAAGTGTGTTCGGAACAAGAAAAGACTGAGTTGGGGGTCCACCATGAATTATGTGATGTGAACGCTAAACATAGAGTTGTGAAAAAATCACAGATTCCTACACTTGTGAAGACTCCATCTGCTAGTTTTAATAAAGAATCTTCCAGTTCAGATTCTACACCTTCTGAAGAGTCAGATACAGGAACTGTAGTGAAACGGATATAGAGAGAGTTATCGCATCGCATCTTGTGACAATGATCATTTGTTATTATTTGGACAGTATTCAAGCAACACAAATCATGGAAGACGCATAGACAATCGACGATATATTCATTCCGAAATAGTCGTATTTATGCTTCATCCTATCCATATCATTATTCATTGATTTAAGGTTCCTATATAGGTAATTTATTGGGTTTTGTATGGTGATTCCGTTCGCACAATTCAGAAAAGGCTTCTCAAATTATTATATTGACATAGTTTCCAGAAGCCACGCTTTCCAGTGAACGGATCAGAACTTTTTTTTTTGAAGAGTCCTTTTATATTCGATAATAACTTTTTGAAAAGAAGAAGCTGTAGACATGTCATAAATATTGATGGAATTCATCATTACTTCGATACCAACAGTTTCCAAACGAAAGCTTTGACATGAGATTTCTTCCTTGAGGAAAAAATTTCCATAACTCATCCGAGGAAAAATTATCAATGTGGTGAATGATTTCTTATTTGATTCCTTTACAAGTTACAGGGTAATGATAAATTTCATTGAAATGTATAAATTGGGAGATATGAATGATGTCTTCTAGGGATACTTCAATAAACGAAGAATTCGGCAGAACTTTTTTCCATTTACCCAATTAGTGGAATGACAGCTGGAATCATCTAGTATCTTCTTGATTGAGTTGAAAAAGTGATATTCAAAATTGCCGATGCCCGAAACACATTGATATTGAATTTATTTTTCTTGCATCATACTCATGAGGATGTTACTTTATATACTTACTGGTTTATCTATAGGCAAATGCGAAAGATTAATGATGATGTGAAGGAAAAATCAACCGTCAGTATCTTGGCTGGGCATTGGCCCCATATTCTTTCAATATTTTCATCATGCGTAGGTACCTAGGAACAATAAGGAGAGGGGGTATAAGTGATGATTTTTTTTTCAACTTTGGAAGGTTATAGATTCTTGAGAATACTTTTATTGGGCCAATATGTGGACAATAGCCTGCCAAGATTCGTGCTACAGGAGTCAGATACCTATATCATGAGTAAAATGGATCCATTTTACTTTTTAGAGCAATCCGTCGCCCATGAATTTATTGTTTCATCATCAACTTAGGCATATCACATTTTATTTCTCATGTTTCTTCATCACACTTGAAACCTTGCTTGGAATTGATAACAGCTAAGCTTGTGGGGTCAGAAAAGACATAACTCACTTTCTAAAAGAGCAAAACTATTTTATTCCATTTTTTGAAGATCATAAAGCAGCACCACCACAGAATCTAGCGAATGGAAAGAAGTTGAGGAAATAATGGTGAATTATCACATCAAATGCACTGACTCCGAGTGTCAAAGAAAATCATAAATGACTAAATAGTTATACAATATTTCTCGCATTCTTTGATACATATCCCAGTATTTATAATAATCTAGAATACTCCTCTAGAAGTTTTGAGGATCTGAAATGTTTCCAATTGGTTTCTATCAGTAATCTAGTATTATATCAACTCAAATTAGTATTATGTATTTAGATTCATCAGGAGTGAGTGATTGGTTCTATAGAAAAGAATCATCACATCGACTTCATTGTGCATCCAGTATTCATAATAATATTTATTACTGTAATATATAGTCACTATAATAATATAAAGTTTTTACTGATTTGTTGACTATTATTTGATTCAATAACATTTTTTGCTTTAACTCATCCAAATGGAATCATCTCATCAAATGGCAATCTATGTGAAACAAATACTTTTTTTCGTCGGCCTCTACGAAAAATCATATTTCACTTTCCAATTTTCGAACGAAAAACCGCAGACACTGATTTTTCGTCCGCAAACACTCTTCGTCATTTGCAGGGTTGCCAGTTATACTGAATTTTCAGTAGATCTCCTGACTTTCATATTGATCTTTTGATCTACTGAAACAGTTCATAATCGATTAAAAACCATTTCGACTCTTCTTTTGGCATGATATTTCTGCTCGCTCTGATTGAATTGATTTTACAGAATAAGTAATGAATGTATGTACATTGTACATATAGGTTCTAATGATATGTATGGACCAAAGAAGGACAATACCTTATCTTATTCGGATCAATATGACCATTCAATTGTAGTAAAAATTGGTTTATCTATTATAACTTGGCAACGTCGCAACCAAATTAAATTCTCTTCACAGCGATGGGGAGCTAAACCTTAGCAGAATGAATTTCAAATAAAAAATACTGGGTGTTCTATTCAGAGAAACTTGTCTCCGAGTCGTCCTGCGTTAATAAAACACCCAGAGTATTGTTGAAAATTTGTTTGGAATTGGAACCCTCAATAACGGAAGAAATGTGTTCTCAAAAGTTTTCGTCTAGTGATAATGGATTTAATTTAGAGATATCGAAGAATTACGCATTAAATGGACACACTGTACTATTTTTTATATGGTGAATTGTTTGAGAGATAAGAGCTCATGTGCAAGTTTGGTCAATACGAATGTAACTGAATAGGTATACCTTGAAGAATTTTAATTGGGTGACGAGTGATGTAGTAAAAATAGTCATCGATCGTTTCATATTATTATAACACGACTCGACTCACCGTTCAAACAGTTTTGTGGTATATAAACAATAATTCACGAAATGTTTCCATCGTTGTTGTCAACTGAATATTGAATTGATTTGTCGCGGTTACTTATGGAGCTCACTTCATAGAACCCTAAATACGAACATAATAAATGTACCTAAACTTCACTGGTGAGTTTCCAAACTCTCATATACAGGGTAACTCACGGCCGATGGTACGTTAGACGTTTATGGAGAATGGGACATAAAATCATTCTGAACTTTTGGTTACTCACGTAGTTGCTCTTGGTCTATCGATCTAAAATATTTTCAGCTCTGCAGCGTTGCCGCTTCTATCGAAAAGTATCAACAACTTTGGTATTTTGAAAGGAACACCCTCTATTTCATTGCATTTTTAGATTCTCTCTGAATAGCGGATTTCATCGATGTATCACACTTGGGGTCTAGCGAAAATGATTACAGAGATATAGGGTGTGAAAAATCGACATTTTTCAACTTTAGGAATTTTTTTTGTCGAAACTATCCATGATTGGTCGAAACGGCTCACATGTCCCTATCTCAACTTTTGATCAACTATCTACTGACATTTAATTGAAACAAATAATACAAGGTCGTGCAGAATTCAGAATCTCGATCACCCCCCAACTAGCATTTATAGTCGCGATTACGTAATTACGACTATTGGGTCGACTATTAAGTAATATTTACTAGTTGCGGTTACGTCATAATCACGTCGTTACTACGTATTTACGACCAAAATGGGGAACAAATCACGAGTAATTATTACGGTTTGCCGACGTAGCGGGAACTCACACAATTACGTAATGCTTACGACCCGTCGACGTCGAAATCACGTAAAGATGTAGTAAATTTTCCTACCTGACTTTCTATTTCTTTTCCACTTCATAAAAATATTATTTTCTCTCCTTATTATTCTTCATTTCATCCATGAAGTTCACATTCACGAAAAATGAACAAGTCCAATATGCCTAACCATTCAATAAATAATACAAGGACAAACACGCGAAATAATTGATACTCGAACTTGAAAAATTCGAACAACATTCAGTTTTTCGATAAATGTGATGATTTTGCCTCGAAATTCAAGATGCGCCCACAAAATACGGCTCATTTCACCAGAAATATGGTTTTATTTCATTCGGCTATTTTTCAAAAATCATCGTAAATCATGTTAATTTCCATTATTATGCAATTTGTGATCGAACGAATGCTATTATTCTTCATAAAATGATGTTTATCAACAACAAAAACCAAAATTATTTCCTGTTCAAATGGTTATCACATCAATCAATATGGCTTCCAATCGAAAATGAATCAGAAAGTTACTTTTAGAACTCGTCAGTTATGATAACCTATGTATTGGTAACTTCAACTGAATATAATTACCGAAAAGTTGTTTCAACTATGAAGGAATTGTTTGAGTAGGAATTACCAATATGTTACTTGAAATATCACCAAGAATTGACTAAATTATTAGGTGATCGATCAAGTAACGACAACGTCGTAGAAACCTAATTGGTGACCATAGAGTAATTGCAACTGTGAAGCCTTCTTGGGGTGGTAAGCGTTACCGTAATAATATATCCAAAGTTCCGAAACCTTAAGAGTAGTTTTGAGGAGTGACAGTTTCGAAATAGTTACTTCGTAATAAGCCATGAGAATTTCTCACTTTGAAGTTATTATCTAGTGTAAAAACTACGTAATTTTCACTCACTAAATAACTATCACTGACATTTATACTATGAAGTTCTGAAATAAGTGATAAATACGTTATTATCACTAAATATAGGTAATAGTTTCTTGAACCATGGTGCCTGTGACTGAAAATGCTAGTTGGGCCGTTATATGTCCCAATTAAATATCAGTAGATGGTTAATCAAAAGTTGAGATCGGGACATGTGAGCCGTTTCGACCAATAGTAAATAGTTTCGACAAAAAAAATTACTAAAGTTGAAAAATTACGATTTTGCACACCCTATATCTCTGTTTTCATCTCCGCTAGACCCCAAGTGTGATGCATCGATGGAATCAGCTCTTCAGAGAGAATCTGAAAATGCAATAAAATACAGGGTGTTCCATTCAAAATAACAAAGTTGTTGCTACTTTTCGATAGAAGCGGCAACGCCGCAGAGCTGAAAATATTTCAGATCGATAGATTAAGAGCAACTACGTGGGTAATCAAAATTTCAGAATGATCCTATGTCCCGTTCTCCATAAACGTCTAACGTACCATCGACCGTGAGTTACCCCGTAGAATGAAGGAAAAGGACCGAATAAAATAGAGGCGTCTCATGTTCACAATTTTACACTCCTTTCTCGAGGAGTTCATTCGTTCCAGATATATATTTCGCAACCTCACTATTTATTTATATGTCTCCTAAACACCAGCAGTATTTGATGTCACAGTATGTTACATGAGAAGATTTGAATTCGTTACAAGAATCTTGGAACCATTTCGTTCTATCTGGCTAATTTTTGACAATAACTTATTTATAAAAACTGTCAAATGAATATTAAATTGATTCGTCGCGGTGACTCGAAAAGCTCACTTTCTAGAACTGTGAATACGAACATAGAATATGTACCTAACCTTCACTGGTGAGTAGGCATACTCTCAGATTTCGTTTCAACGATTTCCATACATATTGGATCTTGGATGAACTCACATAGAAGAAAGGAAAAGGACCGAATAAAATAAAAGCGTCTCATGTTCACAATTTAACACTCCTTTCGTCAGGAGTTTACACGTTCCGGATATATATTTCGCACCCTCACTATTTTCTGTTATGTCCCCTGAACGCCAGCAGTATTAAATGTCCCAGTATGTTACACGAGAAGTTTTGAATTCGTTACAAAAATCTTGGAACCATTACGTTCCATCTGTCCTATTTTCAACAATACTACTTTTTTTCACTCACATAACTAAAATAGCTGCTAGCGTATGGATATGTACCATGGCGATTAATCAGGGATTGATGATCTGTGATTTATTCAAAAAATTAAACATCTTACCTTGGCAACACAATTTCTCAAACACATTACCATGGCAACACAGTTTTATAAACACACATTCAGTCGTTAGAGTCTTGTCTGGCCAGTAAATTGTAGGAACTGTCAGCTGTCATTTTGTTACAAACCGAATTATACAAACAATTTCTGTTTGTATCAGAATTCATCATTGAAAATGTATGTCGACGAAAGTGAAATCGAAGAGAATCTTTTAGATACTTGCATATTTTCAAGAACTCTGTGTAAATAAAATGAAGCTCTCGCATCTTTGTGGGCAATTCATTTAATGCTAAGCATGACAATAAATGTGTAAAACAATATTCATGTGACCAATAATTATGCAAACAGAATATAGATACAAACTAGAGAAATGACAAATTTTGATACCTCAGCGAATCGAAAAGTTTAAGAATTTAAATGAAAGGAGATTTGTGGGGTTTGTTGGGTTTCCCCATAATTGATTTTTAAATTTAAAACTCTCCACTATAAATCTTTTATGATGTGAAAATTGAGAACATAACTTTTTTATCCCTATGACAATTATAAAATTTCTTATTTAAGGCTGATGATGGACATATTATATAGGTCCGAAACATGTACCAATTTTCGATGTCTCAATCACATCGAATGTCGTGGAGATGACTTTGTGTATCATTTAGTATTCGGATCGAAGAATTGTTAGTATCTTTTACGTCAGATGGAAACTTGATAGTCACAAAGGTTGTATAAGCAAGTCATTCATGTATCGTGTATGGACTGGGCACATCTACAACCAATATTTAGTACATTTGTCTCGTTGGTTTCAATTGCATAGTATTATGTATCATGTTCTCAATTCCTATTCCCTCTTCTATTGATTCTGTAGGTTAGCCAGGTGGGTTCGGAATTATCGCCTCAACAGAGTAATTATGAACTAGAGAAGAAGCCAAATACTCAAAGTGGAATGCTTCTTGACCGCTATCTGGTGCATTTCATTCGTTTATACGAACTATCGCATAGATTTCGGGAGGATGTAATGCAATGTTCTGCGTGACATATAGCTAGGAAAGTAGTTGTTTTTCTCTCGTTATCTACCATTGTCGTTCATTTTATGAACTAGTATGTGGTAATGACTTTGAGTTTCTCTCTCTTTGTGAGTAATTATGAGTTCGTAAAAAAATATGGTATGCAACGCGTTTTTAAACCCTTTTAGACACTTGTTCCACTATGCTGCGCTCTTTTTATACAGTGTGTCCATTTAGTCCGTAATACTTCGATATCTCGAAATCAATTATCACAAGAGAAAAACTTTGGAGAAAAAACTTTTTCAGTTACTGAAGTTGCTCATTTCAAAAATACTTCTAACAATACTGGGTGTTTTATATAAGCGGGGCAACTCTAAGACGAGTTTTTTTTTAAATTGAACACCCAGTATTGTTCATTCGAGATTCATTCCGCTAAGGTTCAGCTCTACATCGCTGTGAAAAAAATTGAATTCGGTTGCGGCGTTGCCAAGTTATAAATGATAAACCCATTTTCACTACTATTGAAGGGTTATGTTCAATTGGATATGGTATATTTATTAATTGAAATTCCGAAAATATTTTTGGCATACAGTAGTAGCAAGGTCTCACGTATACCAATTCAGTAATCTTGCGAGATAATCCCTCACAGGGTGCCAAAATTTACATTCTGAATATTGTAAGAATCATACGACGATCATAAGAATTTTTCAAATAGAACACCCTGTATTTTTCTTCACAGATCTATTTCGACATATTTCTCCTTCTCATCGTTGAAGAAAGAATCAATATCGTTTTCAAGTTATGAGTAATTTCCTTATATTTACTACTATTTCGGGGTAATTTGTGCGTTATGATGGTTCCTCTATTTGATTTGAGTATGGAAATATTGCTTGCCACATGACATTCGAGGTTCTACAAAAGCAACTCCTGTCTTTGGAACAACTTCTACAATACAAACAATGAAAATGCGATTTTTTTGAAATTTGGACCATTTTTATTGATTCCCACAATCCAAATTTCCATTTAACTTGAAGGAGGTAAACATAATGATACAAACAATATGTCTCTACTACGCAGCTTTTGGGAGGGCAGTCAGCAGAATTTCGAATTAATCCAAGGCGAAAGATGTCGGAATGAATGTTTCAATAAAAATACAGGGTGTTCCATTTGAAAAATTCTGATGAATGTCATCTGAATCTTGCAAAATTCTAAATGCAAAATTGAGCACCCTGTTCAAGAACATGTCGCTTCTACCGTATGCCAAAAATATTTTCAAAATTTGAATTAATGAATATTCCATGCCCAATTCAACATGACTCTTCAATAAGGGTAAAAATAGATTTATCAATTATATCTTGGCAACGCCGCAACCGATTTCAATTTTTTATACAGCGATATGAAGGTGAACCTCGGCGGAATTAATTCCGAATGAACAATACTGATGGGTGTTCCATTTCAAAAAACTCTTCTTCGAATTGTCCCGCTTTTATTAAACACCCAGTTATGTTCAAAATATTTTTGAAATGAGCAACTCTAGTAACTAAACAAGTTTTTTTCCCAAAGTTTTTCTCTATAGGTTATGGCTTTCGAGATATCGAAGAATTACGCACTAAATGGACCCAATGTATATGCTATCGATAGAGCGTTGCTCAAACATGCTGCGGAATTAATTTGTTAGCATATACAAATCTAAAGAATTTCATACGGTTTTGACTGATGTTAAGTGTTACTCTTTCCTGAATGAAAAAATGTCATGACCTCAAAGACGTTTGGTTGCTAGTTAGATATCTTGAACAATTCTTCATTTGATGACGAAAGAGGAAGCGAAATTTAAGATAAAAAAAACAGTTAGTGTAGGGAAGTAGCCAGCTTTTAATCAACAACTGAAATACGAAAACGAGATCATAGGAAATACCATTTTCGTATTTCAAATTTTTTGATTGTGGATGATGGAGGCTTTACTGGTAATCGATTACTAGGAACTGAAAGTATTGATATTTTCAATAATTAATTATATTTATTCAATAATAATAATTGAAGTGTCACATTATTTAAAACATACGTCAATAGTCCTGAGAATTTGAGGTCTGTCAAGATTTCACTATATCATCATATCTCTTCCAAATTCTTGGTTATGCAAAAAATATCAAGGGAACATAAAAATCACTGTATTTTGCTCAACAAAAATTTTTCAGTTATTTGTGGTTATTTACACACTTTTTCTGATGCGAGAATTCCTCTCATCGCAGCTACATCAATGAAATATGAATATTTATATGTCAGTTTATTGAGAAAACTTGACACATCAGAATGACAGTGAATCTATCATGGCTATTTTCCGATTCAACTACCAGCACTGAATCTGCTGATTCTTCATTCCGAAATGAAAAAAATCACTGAAATGGACAGATACTTGTGAGCAGACAAACTATTCATTCCAAATATTTGTACTCAATCTGCTGAAACTGCTGCTGCTGACATGTCATTAGAAAGAAGTTATGTTACATAAATTTAATTTCTTTATATAATAATTGACGCTTGAATGATATCCCAATTTCACCAGCTGATCAACTGCTGCTGATTACTGATGGAAATCATGGGAACGTGTTTCGAATTACAGTAAACTATTTTTGATTTTATGTTTGGGAACACTTATTCTCAGCAGAGTCAGTGGATTTACTGACAGTACGATACTGACCAGTTGAATTCGGAATATAGCCTATGCATGAACCTTAATCCAGCAGATAGAATAACTTTGAGGTTAGATGACGAACAATTTTTCAGGATCAGGACAGCTTCCTCAAATTCCAGTATTATATAATATGTTCGTTCCAAATTTCATCGAAAAATGTGTATTTACAATAACTATCAAACCGCTGCATATGAGTTATATTTTCAAGTTTAAAATTTCCTAATTTCGATCTAGTTTTTCGTTGAAGTTTGAAACTCATCTATTTTTTTAGTATAATCATTTTAGAAGATTGTCCTCGTGTTCACACACTGGTAAGGAATCATTCATTGTACTATTTCTATAAAAGAATCAAGGTTCATGAAGTATATTTGGCACCAAATATAATGGAAATTGAGGAACAAATATTGGTGCAACAACTATCAGCAGTTCTTCAGAAAAATGAAAGAAGTCGTTAGCTATGCTGAAATGAGTTTGATATTCCTTGAAGAAACAGTTGAGATGACCATTTCCAGCATCGAATCGGTCGTAGTACAAATCTAAATATCTTGGGTATAGATTGAATATTTTTGCGAATCCTTTCATTTTCTGAATAACAAAAGTTTATTCTGTAATAATGATAATTCGATAGTGAATAACAAAAATTATGTTGGGTCCAACCTGACAAAAGAAGACTGATAATGCAATCATTTTCAAGCCATACCAAATCGATGCAATTTCGTGGAACAATTTCATTATAACATTGAATTGAATCTATCATGGAAATTTTCAGAGTTTTTGGGTTCATTCAACAAGATTTTGTTTCTAGTGTTATCAATATTTCAATCAGCAGTCAAACATCCTTCCACGATTACGTGTGTTCATCAAAATATCATAGTATAACAACTAATTAATCTGTTTCCTACTCTCCAATAACTATGGTGTTAAAATGCTCCAACTATAATTAGAATCAGACTGAGAGAATGTCAAGACAAGTATTGACAAATTCTCAGTTTACGGAAGATGAACTAAACTAAGATGAAGTGATGCTTTCAGACATTGTGCAATTTGCATGGTTAAATAATCGGACACAAAATAAATGTTTACAGAATACCATGATAATATTCAGCGGTAATTGTGGTCAGCTTGAAGATGTTATTTTGCTGTTAATCTGAGGCCTGTCAATATAGTCTTCGTACTAGGGTACCATACAATTCCAGATCTGATTCTTCTAACCAACAGAAATTGATATAACAACTTCTATATGGAGACTGTATCGTATAACGAATTATTCGTTGTATAACTGAACTTCAACTAACGTTTTTGGTTCCTCGAGTGAATTATGTAATCGAAAATGTAACTATCAGTCTTCATTTGAGCAGGTTGAATAAGTGGAATGCGAAAAAATAGTGTCATGTGAAACAGAGGAGATGGACACTTACACATTTAACATTCATAACGAATTCCGGAATATTTACAGAGTTTAGGTCATATAATAGGCCCGAGATAAGTATAAATGATAATATCAACAGAACAATGTCATAGAGCGAATGAAGAAGATACAGCTGAGAATATATCATGCAACTGAAAATATCGACTGTCAGTATACAAATAGTACATCAAGTTTCATGTGGATGATTGTAGATCTCCAAATGCCTATCTACAACTATATACTTTCTCGACTCGTGGTTGATATCTATGATGCTTCCAACGATTCATACTCCTCAGGAAGGTATTTTTGTGAACAATCGATTTCAGTAATGATAACCTCATGATATTTCAATTTTTTTCATATTCAGAATAGTGGTTTTGAAATACTGAAGAACAAGGATCGGAAAAGACTGCAGAAAGAATGCATTTTCTACAGACACAGTGTTGAAAGGATACTACAAATAATATTCAGAATCCGGATCAATTTATTTCATACTCAGATATGTAAGTGGTTTTTTATTGCGATCAGGGAATTATCAAATTCTATGAAATATATAGGAGCTGGGCTCCCCATCGGGGAATACCTGAACCTTGGCTGGTACATGATAATGGTTTTATTTGCAGTGATGCAAATCTCCATGTCTAAAAAATACATTATTTTCATTTCCATTTTCAATACTAAAAGTATAGCTCTATAATATTGAATATAATAATGCCTTGGTTGGATCAGCAGACGGACCCTTGTAACCTATAACATGCGTATAATGAAATGAATGGAGTGTTGATAAGGGATAAAACCGAATTTTTGAAAAGGCGTAGGAACTTCATGTTCTCAAGTAGCTAGTTTCCAGAACATAGGGTGCTGAAGTTCAAATAAGATCATTTTTGGATTATAAGGCGAAAACAACAAGAATTTTGATCGATATCGATTTTGGTATATGTTTTTCTTTTCCGAAACCTCAATCTTTCACGATAATTACTTCCGTCATTCGATCCAGTAATGCACTACAAGATGGTTGTTGTGGTAATTTTCTCATATATTCCACACCATTGAAAGAATTTTGATAAATTCCATATTTTCGTATTTCCTTTCAAGTTTTTTTGAAGAAAAACACACTTCCAGAGAGTTGAGATGAACTGTTTTAGAAATATTCGATTCAGAATGGTACCTTGCAAAAATCATTGTCCATAATAGTTGATTCACCACGAGAACAAGAACAATATTCCATATTTCTCCTTGAAATGAGTATGTTCAGCAATAGAAGGAAAACAAGCGATTACTCAATCATTCCATCACTGCGGAACATTTTTTCCTACAAACGTCAAAAAATGACAAGGTTCATACGTTGATGATAACAAATTCGGAATGACCCTTTTTGTCAGTTTCCTTCGTTACCACAACACCATGTGCGAAGCAGTGCGCGAAGTACATACTTCGCGCATTGTATGTAAACTAAATGAAACTTCTTTTATTTATTTATTCTCATTCATTTCTGGATGTTTAACAATTTCATTTCCATCTCTGGGGCCGTACGAAAGGAAATTTCTATAATGTTCGTGGAACTTCGTGCGTACCTATAGAGACGTTAGGGAAATGCCTTTCAAGCCAGTTCAACATTATTTTTTGTATAAGGCTGAGCATATTACTCCAGAACTACATTTTTTGACGTCTGCAGAAAAAAATTGTTTGCAACTCGTGCGCGAAATACTTGTGTCTTCTCGAATATTTTCCGACTCGACTGCGCTTCGTTAGAAGAATCGATTCTTGATTCCCAAAGTAGCATTCCGAGCACTAGATACAAAAATAACAATTTTGTTATAACCTGCTCTTCAAAATGATGAGGAATACCTATGCAATATTTTATTCAATGTCAAATTTTTTTTCAAACACACTTGGAGATCATATGCTTTCACAACACTATTTGCACTAGAAATACTATTAACCAGAAACAATCTTGGTTTCATCAGTGACAAACATAATATGAGAGCCCCAAGTACATAGATAAAGAACAGATGACAATTCAAAAATTTCTTAGTTATCGAAAATTTATTCCTAATTTAACCAAATGCAGAATCTGAATTCAAAACACTCAAAAGCCCCTGAGTTATTATGGAAAATGATATTTTTATGAAATCTAGGTAATAACTCAATGCTCGTCATATTTCATGAGAAGGTAGCTTGTCATGGTAGCATTCACCTAAATTTTATCTGAGATTGAGTAGATGAAATCAGCCGTTCCAACAAATTAATGAGATCTGTGCCGTGAAAAGAGAATTATCGAATTCATAAAAAATATGTGTGATAAATGATGCCTGATATCAGTAATAACTTCAATTTCTGCATGATAACCTTTCAAATCATTGTGAGAAAATATTGTTGCCAAACCATATTTTGTTCATTCGCCATATGCACTGTTCATCGGACGAAAAGTTTAGTCACTTGAGCATATTCCCTACAGTTATCACTCCACTCAGTTTTATCACACTCTCATCTCACTCATCGCCGCATGCGGCACATTCATAGCCCCCTTCGCCATATTATTATGCGAGCTGAGCAAAGGCTGGCTTTCCGGGCTCCTTGCTCTAGGCGGTGGTGGGGGCTTCGGCACGCACAATGGCATCGTCGCATTCCCGTTAGGAGGCTGGACTAGACCTTGCTGCTGCATCTCCGCGATGACGCAAGCCGTGTTGTTCATCAAGCTGGCGTTCTTCGGCAGGGTCATACAGCCGTGCTGATGTCCCTGATAGCTGTGCATCTGAGGTTTCTTCGGCAAAGTCATGCAGTTCTGCATGATGACGTTCGGGCTGGGGGGAGGAGCCTTCAGAGTGTTGGCTATACTGGTGGGGCAGAGATGCTGGTTTTTATGTACGTCGTGAGCATTTGCAGCTAGGATCATGGCAGAGGTGTCCTGCTCCACGTCGACTATGACATTGGAGCTTTGTGAGTGCCCCATGTGGTAGTGTTGATGTTTCGATATAGTCTCGAAGGCTGCTTGGTTCCTGCTCTGCTGCTGCTGCAAGTTTTTCACCTCCATTCGCGTCTTGTCTCGCTGGTAATACACCCCAGCGAATATCAGCACGTTGAGGATCAATAAAGAGCAGCCGATCGCTATAGTCACGCTCAAAGCTGTGCTGTAAGCTGCATAACCAGCAGCCTCCAGGCTTGCTAGGGTGTCGGTGGCATTATTTTGATTTTGGAACAACTGGTGGTTGTAGTTTCCAGAAGGTATAACACTAACACACGTGGTAACCATAGTCTCTACAGTGGTTGGTGCGTCTAAAGCTGTCAAGCTGGTGTTTGGTCGTCTTCTTATCAGCTCCATAGTTGGATCGTAGTAGCTGACTCGCGAGAGAGGGTCAGGACGGACTGCTCCGTCGTAGAGGTCGGCACTGTTGTGGTTTCTGAAGAGGTTATGCCTGGCCACGACATCTTCCATGCCTGCCCGATGGAGTTCTGGGATTAGTCTGAGCCAAACGCTGAGCTGGTGAGCTCGGAAGTGATTTTTCATGCGTGGTTTCATACCTGTAACAATGAAAATTATTGTTTGATATTTTTCAAATTTTGTAAAGGTAGTGTCGAAGTGATAATGATATACAAAAAGCAAGAAAGTTTGTACACACATGCCGTCGTTGGCTTATAACAGGAAAAGGAGAACAGCAAATCCAAAATTGGCAGAGAGGTTCCGAATAACTGTGTGTAAGGTATATTCTTCTACATTCAAACATATTTCAACTCATTTCACAAGATTACATTTCCCTCCTCATATTCTGAGGAAACATATTTTTTGAACAACTTTCAGCCAACACGTTTTTTTTATTGGCCTCTGTCTGGAAGCTATAAGACTCTGAAACTAATTCCTGAATTATTAATGATCTTGGTACGGATGCATTCAGAACTAGTACCATTCTCTAGACTACTCTTGAGGATTTTCAGCAGATAACATGAAGATACGAGGATGAGCTGAACCTCATATTGCCTATATTTATGATCTTGATTGATTTTTCTCACTAATCTCATTCTTCATCTTGTTCAGCACGATTTGAAGTCGAGAATCTGCAACATTCATCACAATTTATATAACTTACAGCACAAATGGCTTTTCAGCCGACTTGATTTTCGTTAGGGATGAGTGATTTATTTGAAAATGCTAACTTCAGAATTCCATAACTATCAATCAAATGAAGATAGAAGCAAGTTCATGAATGAGAGTTATTCGAAAAAATATATCTTTTCAGAATAATTCACACATGAGCCTCAATAAATCTCACTGACTGACACCGCCAGTTTTTAGTTCGGTTTTGAATTAATTGTATCATATTGCATACAAAACAGTCTGATTCTTGGCAGACTTGATTTTAATAACAGCTCGAGAGTTCTATAGTCATCAACAAAAAAAAAATAGTTATAAAAATTGTTGAAAAAAATGTGTTCTTACAGAAATTTCATGAATTCTTGAAAGGAATAACTTCTTTCACACCACTTCCGCCATTTTGAGAAGTGTTGAAGAATGTTTGAATACAGAAAAATACACCTTACACACAGCTATTCAAATTCCTGATATGATCCAAGGGTGGCAAGTATGAATCACCCTTTACTAGCTGTTGTGACGATAAAGTAAATATCAATAATCTTGAATTTTCGGAATGTTGGCCAAATGAGCAGAAAAAAATCTCAGTAGGCACTGTAGTAAGTAATACTTGATGACCGATAGTATTTCTCTTATATAACCATGGAACTTAATCATTCTCCTCTTGGTGAGGAATTATTCCCAAATGAATTATAATATTCATTTTTGAATATCATTTGGTATTTTCTTCCCTCGATCCTTTAAAATAGAGATATAAGTATGATTTCATTATACGCGTAGTAGGACACATCAGATGATTTGCACCAATATGTCTTTGAGAATCTTGTCAGTTACACTTCGTTTTGAAAAATGTTTGTAGATAAGGAATATAGATATATTGAAAAAAATGTCGAATTTTTACTCAACAAAGGACGTTTTGGGAAAGAATCTGTTTCCGTTTCCAACATTGAAATTAACGATATCACATTTAATATAAATGATACTCTCGTTAGTTTTGAAGTATAGTGAGTTTACACACAGATGATCCAATAGATAAGACTAGAAATAGTGAAATATTAATTAGAAGATGATGAAATCATCACTGAGAGAACCATTCTGAGTATCGTACCAATTATGGAATTTTTTGGAATTGTGCCTGAAAACAACATATTCTTAACTAGATGATGAGATCTTTCAGTTCTGGCATGGCTATGGGTTCACCATTATCTCCAATTTCGAGCAATATAATCATGGAGAATTCCGAAGAAAACATGATCTAAAACTACCGGAAACAACCAAGAACGTGGTGGAGATACGTTAGATGACATCATCATAATTTTGCCACATAACCTTGTAAAGCTACATCATTATCTGAATTACGTTTACAATGCCGAACCCACGATGAATATCACTTTGGAAATTAGGTCCGACAAGCAGTTATCGTTTTTAGATGTTCTTATTGGAAAAATTCAATGATGTCTCCGTAATAAGTGTATATCATGAAGAGACTCATACTGACAGATACCTCAACTTTCAATCAGATCATCAGAAAAATATCGAAAGAGAAAAATTACAAATCACTTCATGATAGAGCAATTATTGTCGATAACGAAATGCACCACATTGAAGATGTTCCTCATCAACTCCTACCCAAACGATTTACCAAATTTAAATAAAAAAAAGCATCACAACCAGAACAACAAACAATAACGACAAATAAAATACCATACATTCCCGGAATATTTGAAATAATGTGTTGTTGATGAGTTTCAATTGAGAACTGTATCCAAAACTAACAATACAATGAGATCCATTCTTACTCAAACGGAGCCAAAAAATGGATAACAATCATAACAAAATTGAATGTATGGTATACCTTGTGTTTGTCGAAAGTATAACACAGGTGAAACAAAGGGACATCTCTCAGATACGGACAAAAGAAAATAAGTACAATATCAAGAAAATTCATATCTATGAATCAAAACTAGCTGGAAATATCCTTACTGAATATAAACAACATATGGCAGGATGAAATAAAATCAAAATCATAGGAAAGGAAGATAACAATCGGAAGAGAAAACTCAAGGAATCTGCTTGCATTCTTCAAAACTGAGAAAATAGCATTGCTTCATGTTCAGTTGATATAAATAGAACATTGGTATTCACTACTGATTACTGAACATGAAAATCGTAGATTCAAAATCAATTAACAAAAACATCTTGTAACCCATTGTATGTCAACATCAAAGTATGTCACTGCGAAGTGTCACATGAAACAATTTCCAAAGAGAACTAATTGACGATTCTTTCGGTAGAAAACGAAAGCAGATTCGTTTCCGAGACGTCCAACATTGAGTAAAAATTTTATATTTTCTCAATATACATTTTTCAAAACAGGATGTCACTGCCAAATTATGTTTTTTTTTCAGGCTCCATGGTAGAAGAATTTTTGAGCGCAGTAACATTTTGGGGCAATTCATCTGATATATTGAAATGATTCTCATTCAAGAGGAACGAAGAGATAAAATCCTAAATAATCTAGAAGAATTGATATACCACCTCCTCGGTTAACCTATAGAGAGTATTTAAATCATCCTATGTAATTAGTCTCCACTTATTCACGAGTTTTCTTCAATATCAGGTATGAGACAAAACTAACATCAAGTTGTGTTATAGAATGAACAAGTGGTTGCATACTCCATGCTACACAATGATCCACAGTAGTATTCCTAACATGAACAAATACTTGCTGACTTCATTATCCAGATCCATAAGTTGGCGTCAAGTATCTGAAGACAATAATGAAATGACATATTCGCTTCTGACAACAAGGAGGATGACTCAACTCTGGATATAGCCTGGGAGTGACAACATATGTTTCGGATGCTGAACTTCAATGTGAACAGTATTTCGAATCGGCCAGCAATCATTGGAGATTATCATCAGTGGAGAACAATGATCGGAATTATCTACAATGGTTCTACAAGTTGAATCCCATGAATCAGTTGTGGGTTTGTTCGATGCCAAAACTGTCGAAATATCGAATTATAAGATACCTCTGGGAATAAGCTAGTTAATTTTCTATTGACCCCATTCGAACTCGAGTGACTGTAACAATATCACTTCCAGTGGAGGATTCTGGCTACCTAATACAGTATGGTGTGTATTGAAACGATTAATCATAGTGATCCCACAGCTTGTTTATTTTCGGTTGAACTTTGCAGGTAGTTGGTAGATAAATGACCGCTTGGTGGCTCATGGTCAATAATTTGATTTGGGAATAGGTGGCGACTGAAAGGCTTTCTAGTTCTCTCTCGAGATATTGGGTTTATAACGAGTAGAAAGTAGGTAACAATCTCGAGCAATACTTTCTGGATGGTCAGTTCTTATTTATTTCAGAGTTGATTGACAAGAGACGAAACCAGCTGTAGCGCCGTTTCTTAATTGTTGTCCGATAACGATGATCTGAAACAAATAATCATATATAAGCTTCTCCTGGATGAAAGGAATTATGGGTGTTCATCCAAATAATTTCCCAAGTCTTTTGCACAAAACTCTACTTGTTAGGCATTATTTGAATTCAGAAAATCATTGTGCATTGAGAAAATTCCACGTTACCATCTACCTACTAAATCGTATGATGATTTGTTCTAAAATTATGTATTAGCGACCATTCGCGACAATAGTAAGTATGTTGATTGGTAACTGCTGATGAACAAAAAAAATCATACTTCTCGACTGTTTGAGACAGAAATATAATTTCGGAAGGGTGAAATAGATCTTTGCAATACTTGGAGAATCTAATTACATACATTGTTATTCATTTATGATACTTTGGTACTCTAGATTGTATCAATATGAGCTCTGTATATGATGCGATAAATTATGTGTACAGTTATTTTTTGTAATCGATAATATTTTCAGCTATATCATAGAACAATCGGACAATCGAGAAATTTCCAACCCGGTATGGATGGATTCGTAGACGACGTTCCGCTGGATATTTGAAGATTTATTTGTTTTCTTCTCGTCTTTATTTTATTTTCCACAGAATAATGTTTTCTAACATTATGAGAATCACCTTGAATAACCTGACTAGAAAAGTGAAATACGTATATGAAGGTATTCTGAAAAATTTGAATAATCAATTCTTTGTGCTTCTAGTAAGACTCTGATCTCTTTGATATGTTTTATTCCATAGCACAAAATTCGTTTTCTTGAATAACATCACCGTATACATGGTTGTATGTGAGAATTGCACATATCACCCTTCGACCTACACTAAAATATTATGATTTCTCTATTCGCAGAAATTGTTATAGCATTTCTGTGGCAGGTTCATAATGAAAAATATATTCACGTAGGTATCAATTGAGTATCGAAAAATTTGGTCGATTTGATTTTTTCTATAAATTCCACGCGATATGAGAAGAAATCATCATGTAGCAATCTCATT